TTTCTGAAACTCAAAGGAACAGCGTGGGCCCGAGCGTAGCGAGAGCTGGGCATTAACGGTTTATGAGACGGTAGCTGACAAATATTTTATTATTATATTATTATTGTATCTTTTAGTTCCTAGAGGAATATAGGGCTTCAGCTGCGCACCTCCGTTGCCTTCTGTTTTCTGACATCTTTTTCATCCCGCTCCAGGTCTGCCCACACGCTGTCATCTCCTCTTCACATGACCTCCTCCAAGTCACCCCACCCTAGCACTGACGACCAACTCGCCGCCCGCTTCCCTTTCGGGTTCCACTCGAGCGATGGCTTGTCTAGTGATGTCACTCACTTGATGGTTTGTTTCCTCAGAGTATGGCCAGCCAATCCATCTCCATTTCTTCCTGCCTATTTGTTTCACAATCGGTTCCTGCTGTGTTGGTTCGCTCATTGCCAGAGATCCCTCCCTGTTGGTGATCTTTTCTGGCCAGCCATCTGATCTTGAGTGAAGACAGTATTGAGTGAAGGCAGCTAGCTGTTGATGAAGGTCTGTAGTTTGTTTGAGATGCTCTTTATGACGCACTGGCCAAGTCTTTGATCCGTATGGTGAGTAGCACTGACTGACTTCACATTGGAGTTGAAAATCCGGATGTTATTTTTGATTTTGAGTGCTGTTGACCTCCACACAGACTTAAGAGTAGTGAATATTTGTCTTGATTTACCGATCCTGGCTTTGATATCGTCGTCAGTTCCGTTCGCCTGTAGTTGAAACGATGCTTCCCAGGTAGGTAGGTAGGTAGGTAAAGGAGGTTGTTTCTTTCAGCTTCCTCCCATTTATGCTGGCTGATTGTTGTATGTTGTTGTTGTTGGTGGTGTTGTCCAGGAATCTACATCACCTCTGCTTTCCCTTTGTTCACCTGAAGGAGGTCCAATATTTAATGCTTCTTCTGCCAACGTGTTGCTTTTCACTTGCATATCTTCCAGTTTGTGGGAAATCAGACATATATCATCGGCGAAATTCAGATCCTCCAAGTCTTTTGTGTCAGTCCATTTTATGCCTGTTCCCTCGTGGGTTGCCGTTGTCTGTTGTATTATCCAATCAATTGCAATCAGGAAGATCATTGGTTATAGTAGACAGCCTTGTCGCACTCCCGTCCTCACTTCAAAGGCTTCGGTAAGTTTCCCGTTGTGGATTACTTGACATGCAGCATTGTCGTATAGCTGTTGGATGAGATGTATAATTGTCGATGGGACCCCGTAGTAGCGAAGTAGTTGCCAAAATAACCTCTCGATCGACGCTGCCTGCTGAAGGCCTTTTCAAAGTCGATGAAGTTGAGTGAGGTGGAGAGGTGACTGCCATTCCAAGCTTTGCTCAATGATGATCCGCAGTGTGCCGATTTGATCAATATATGACTTGTTTCTCCTGAATCCAGCTTGTTCCGGTCGAAGTTTTTCATCCAGGGTGTCGTGTTTGATTCTCTCCAGGATGTTGCGGCTTAGTATTTTGCCTGGAATGGACAGGAGCATACTTCCACGCCAGTTTTTAGATTGGCTTAAGTCTCCTTTCTATGGTAGTTTGAATGAGTGTCCGTTCTTCCAATCCTCAGGTACTTTGCCCTCTTTCCACACCTTCTCCAGCAGTAGTGTCATCAAGTCCGCTGTTGTCTCTGGGTCTATTTTCAAAGCTTCTGCTGGGATTCCATCAGGTCCTGGTGCTTTCCCAGCTTTTAGCATCTTGATTGCATTCAGGATTTCTGATTTCGTCGGGGGATCAATGTTCACTGGTAGTTCTGCTTCCGTTGTTGGTATTGTTGGGCACGTTGTAGGTGGCGGACGATTTAGAAGTCTTTTGAAGTGTTCAACCCAGTGCTTTCTCTGTTCCACCTCTTTGGTGATTGACTTTCCATTGTCGTCCTTTATTGGCTTAATCTGTGTCGAACGTTTGCCCGAAAGGTTCCTAGTTGTTTGGTAGAGTGTGGCGAGGTCTCCTTTGCCTGCAGCTTGTTCTGCTTGACTTGCCATGGTTTCATAATATTTTCTTTTGTCTTCCCTGGCACACTTCTTCACTCTTTTGCTCAGTGTATTGTAGCTTGCATTCAGCTCCTGTTTTTGTTGCTCGTCAGTGCACTGGATAATCTTTTGCTTCACTGTCCTTCTCTCTTCTATTAGTTTCCAAGTGTCCGTAGTGAGCCACTGTTTGTACTGTCTCTTCTTTCTGCCTAGGACTTCCATGCAGGTTTGACTCCACACCGTTTTCAAGTTGTTCCAGTGCTTTTCGACGCTGACCTCTTCGCTGGTGTTGATTTGTGTTAATGCGAAGACAATATTTCTATATCTCTTTATGTGCTACACAAACAGACTTTATAGCAGACTTTTCCGACTGACTCTAATGACAGAAAGAACAACCAAACTGTAAGTTCATTATACATCAAATTATGTGTAATTTATATAATAACTTATCCATGCCTGTACAATAGGTATGTTCCTGCATAAACAGGAAGGAATATATTATTATTATTATTAAAACAATATTTATGCATGCCTATACAGTTGGTGTACCCTACATAGCTAGGGAAAAAATGTACCTTATTATATTATCTTTACTAAATATGCTTATTAATATTATGTGTAAATTATCGAATTGATGATGCCTGTAAACTGGTGTCCCTCATGTAAAAAATGAGAATATATATTATTATTATTATCATACGTAGTCATTTTGCTATTTCTGATATGGTGTTTAGACCACAGAGAACACTTGTGTAGGCGAGTTTTCCTCCTTGTGTATTTTTACTCGCCCATTCAGCTTGGTTACATGAGCTATAGTTGATTTTTAACTACTTTAAGTCCATAACAGATGTGTTTATCTTTCAATAACTTTTTGGGTGGTTTAAGTATTCTGTAATAAGCGATACCGGAAAAATGTAATGTAGCTGAAGATAAGTATGCGGAACTCAGAATATTATTTGACATATTGACTAACTCGATTTCAGTTCAAGTGGTACTAAAAGACAGGCGGTAAGTCAAAGCTTTATTGTTCAACGAAGTATAAACCAATATTACAAGTAAATTGCAGAGCAGATTGGCCATGTGGTTCACAGCTGATTAATACCAATACACTAAAAGCGTGTGCAGGTAATGTCAGTATAATATATGCTATTTCTGCTGATCATAATGCTCCAGTCTTCTGTAAACAAGAAAACATCAGAGCTACAGCATGGATTGTTTCTTCCAGTGAATAGCAATAGACAAGTTCATTAGATGACCACTCACTCTCCAGCAATATTGACGATTTCCTCCCTATTATCTGGACTCTATTTTTAACCTCGCTGTCGACCTGAAACTTCGTGATGCCTGTTAATCTTGCTCTCATTTAACTCAGAAAGTCCTTTCTGTTTAAGATAACCACTTGATGCCTCTTATAGAGGGGCAATATTACGATATTTTGTTACTTCTCAACTGTAACCATGATTTCCAACTCTCCCTCATATGATGGCCACGTGGTTAGCAGCCATAGTTCTGCTGGAATTGACGAAGGCGATATATTTCAATTTTCAAGTTAACTCGACACTGTCCTTCACTCTACTGATCTATTGCGCTAATCGACACCTTAATCAAAGCATTGGAAAGAATTGCCACGGAAGCTGGTCTCATGGCAACGTTTGAAAAGCAAACAGATTTTCTAAAAACAGCACGAACTTCAGTGAAACCCTTTCTATATTACAAGACTTCTCACGATAAAAAAAGCTTCACTAAACCCCAGGAATAAAAATGAGCCTCGGCGGCATCTCAATTGACTTCAGCAAGACTACCCACAAACGCCAAACTCAACAGTTCCCGTGAGATTGAAAATTTTCGGGACCATGGGTGACCTACACAAATAGATCAAGAATTACTTATAGACAGAAGAGGGAGAGTTGGAATCAACCAAACGGTCTCTTCATTGGTGACAACATATCCTAGTGTGCCACAAAGACCTGTGTTTAGCCCGTCTCATTAGTCACCTACATAAACGAATAACTTAGATCAACAGATGTGCTATGATCTTCACATTGGATAAAGTAAAACTACGGGAAATATTCGAGGATAAAGTTAAAATGTTTATAATGCAACGTAGCAACAACAATCCCCTAGATCCGTCCGAGGAACGGATTGTCCCCAGCAGCGTAGTAGAGTAACTAAACATATACACAACGCACGCAAGTTACAGCGCAAACCAAAATAGAGGGAAATGTGCATTCTTCATTTCAAAAGCTCACAGGTATAGCTTTCATAGTAATTCATAACCTGAAATCTACGTTAGGCAGCCACCCAGTCTTATCACTTCACTTCGCATACAGGGCATAAAATATTTCGTTTAGTATATTAACTACTTGAAGTTTTATGGGCTTTTTACACTTCTAGTGGGATCGAAACAGCATCCCGACGGCAGGGAGTGGATTTAAGGGAGACTCATACACACTTCGAATAGTCCAAACGGGGGTCACACGCATAATTCCTGATACATATAATATATCATGCGAGGAACGATCAATAGGTCTGATTTTCTTGTTATCGTACAGTAAGCATCATGTAGATGTGGTCACGATGTTTGGAACTCAATGAGGTGACTCATGACCTGATGGGTTTTCCTTCTAAAAAGTTCTCGAAACTTCGAAATACATAGTATTTAAGATCAGACGATGCATTCAGCAGTATTGCTTCGCATTACAGATTCTGTCAATGAATAATTAACTATTGTAATCAACTCCAGAAGTGATTTTCGCACCTTCAGCCAACCCGATCACGAAGGGATTGGAGAAGCTCATGTAATTGCTGAGAATGTAATAACACAGGATGGCATATTTCTGCTCTCAACCATAATTTTTAATCTGATTATCAAATTAGTTGTTTTAACTATTCATTAATGTTGTACTTATTTGTACTACTTTTTCGAACACAAGGACAAATAAGAGTCAAGTCTCAACACTCACAATTTATTATTCGTTTATGTCTTACCTCAGAACTTATTAGAAATTAGCTATGGGAAGTTCTAATTGCTTGCAAACGTCGAGTATATGCGTGTTCTTCGCAGTTGAGTTGCTGATATATTTCATAAAACCTTTGAATGCAGAGAAGTTAGTAAATGGAACTTGCCCATCTAAACAAAGGACATTTTGCTATGATGGCATTATTGTTCCAATGTGGAGACCATCAACTGGTATTACTGCTGGAGATAAGGCTGCTAGGGCCATAGTTTATTTCGCAGCATTAATGTATTTATTCCTGGGTGTGTCAATTATTGCCGACCGTTTTATGGCTGCGATTGAAGTAATTACTTCCCAAGAAAAAGAAGTCACAATTCGGAAAAAGAATGGCGAAACACAGACGGTATCCGTTCGTATCTGGAATGAAACAGTCTCCAATTTAACTTTGATGGCACTTGGGTCTTCTGCACCTGAGATATTGTTGTCTGTAATAGAAATAATTGGAAAGAATTTTGAAGCTGGAGATTTGGGGCCTGGAACAATTGTTGGCTCTGCTGCATTTAATTTATTCGTTATCATCGGTGTTTGTGTGTTGGTTGTTCCTGATGGCGAGATTCGTAGAATAAAACATTTAAGTGTCTTTTTCATCACGGCTTCATGGAGTGTATTCGCTTATCTTTGGATGTATCTCATTATTGCAGTTTTTACTCCGGGCTCTGTCGAGGTTTGGGAAGCGCTGCTTACTTTCATTTTCTTCCCAGTCATTGTTATTTGTGCATATATTGCGGACACTAAGATTTTCTTCAAAAAGTTTTTGAGAAAAAAATATCGTGCTACTGCTTTGATGAAAGCGGCTAATGGTGATTTGGAGTTAGCTAATCATACTGAAGAAGTAACTTATACACCCGAGCAGACAGACGTGCTCCTTGAGGAGTCAGAATTTGATCGACATAGAATGGACTATGTTGAGGCAATTAAAGAAATCAGGAAAAGAAATCCAAATATTGGAATGAAGGAGTTAGAAGAATTGGCTCAAATAGAAGTATTAAATAAGGGTCCGAAATCTAGAGCTTATTACCGAATGCAAGCCACACGTCAGTTGACAGGTAGTGGTAATGTTATTAAGAAGGCTAAAGTTGAACGCAGAATGTCTTTTGATGATTCCCACACGACAACTGAGGCTTACCCTCCACATGTCCAGCGGTTCTTTTTCAATCCGGGGCATTATACTGTGATGGAAAATGTTGGGACTTTTCCAGTTACAGTTACTCGTGTAGGTGGAGATATGCATGCCGTTGTTTCCGTGGAGTACTTTACTCTTGACGGAACTGCTGTTGCAGGTGAAGATTATGAGCCAGCCAAAGGAATTCTGTTGTTTGCATCAGGAGAGACGCACAAACAAATAATGATCTCAATAATAGATGATGATATCTTTGAAGAAGATGAACATTTCACTGTTCACCTGAGAAACCTAGAAGTAAAGGATTCCCGAAATCGAGTGGAACCAATTTTAATTGATCCTATGGTTGCGACAGTTATGGTTTTGGATGATGATCATTCTGGAGTCTTTCAGTTTGATGTTAATGAAGTTACTGTCAGCGAGTCGTGTGAATTTGCTGAAGCTAAAGTGCAACGCGTTTCCGGTATGTTAATAATTTTATTTCAAGAAAATGCTAGTTATTTTCTTGTATTTTAGTAACTTAGTATGCTTGATTTGATACTAAGATGTCATTTGGCATTAAGTGTTGTTTTCTCAAAAGCAAATATTAATTGAAGAAATGAATGGTTATGCCATAATATAACTGAAAAGACTATAAATGAAGGGCTATTATAAAATACTAACTGGCTATCTTAATAGACATTCAGTTTAAAATTGGGACTAAAGATGTGGGAATTAGGATGATATAAGTAGTACCACGATGGTGGGCAGTGAAGCTATATTAAGAGATATCTGGTATTTTACCTGGCAAACTGCACGTCTAATGATTTAGTTTTCTTAAAGCGTTTTGGTTGTAAAATTCATGGGACACATGTACTTTAGTACTAGAGCGTAATTTCGTGTCCCAAATGTAAAATGAAATAAATTGTTAGTAAGCTCTACATTCAGGTTTCATGCCAGTTGGCAAGCTACTTTCAGCTGTCGCGCAAATGTGCAGTGTCGAAGAATGAAATCTTACTACAGTAAGATTTTCGGTGAAAATGTGAATTGAGTAACGAATTCCGAACAGACAGTTAAGCTAAGTGCTGAACTACATTTATATCAACGTATGTAGATTTTGATTATTTGTAATCAGATTACTGTAAAGTATCAATTTAACCAAACTAAACATAATTTTGAAAACCTGTATTTAGCACATAATTCCCGATTCCTGTGACATTATCATTTCTTTTTTGGTAAAACCACCATCTTTACTGTATTAGCCAGTTAACCTATTTGGACATCCGACTTCGCAGTAATCATCCTATAACCGTGACAATGGATCGTGATAGCTGTGGTGTTTCCAATACATTATCTAAATGTGGATATATATTGGATTTGTTTCTGTGGCAAGAAATAAGTTACAAATTGAGTGATATCAGTAGTTTGGAAATATTTATGTCAATTGGTAGTATTTCTAACCATATTATCTTGCTTACTGTTTTGGTAGCCTTCTTCGATTTCCTATCTTTACTGAATACAACTAAAATTCCCTAATAAAATAGGAAGTAATACACGGTTTATTAGACATAAGAGAAAGGAATGGGACTGAAGTTATCCGTATTTTTGTCATGAAAAGTTTGTCCTAGTTGAGTGAAATTCAAGTGAACAAGAGACAGAAATCTCTTTCTTCAACCACCAGTAGGTAACATTTTCTTACTGAGAGAGTTTTGTTCATTTTTGTTGGTGGTAGAAGCCAAATGAATATCATATTCATAGTGTATTGTAATTAGTAATGATCCAGTATAACTTTGTTTACGAAGATACATTAAACAACCACTTCTTATTAAATCAGTAACAATTGTTGTGAGGTGCTGTTTAATTTGATAGGAAGTTGTTTTACCTGTTTGCATTGATTAAACATATAGACTAATGAGTTTGTTCATTGATTTCATACGTAATCAAAGGTTGCCGTGGAATTGTTCGTCTTCCATATCAAACTGTTGAAGGTACAGCCAAAGGGGGAGGGAAGGATTTCGAAGATGCTGTTGGATATATAGAATTTCAGAACGATCAGACTGAGTGAGTGGTCATATGTCCAGATACTTGTGATTTTAATCTTATTGAATTTGTTTAAATATTTGAAAGATAGCTAATTAGGCTAAAAAGTACTCACATTACAATCGGACACCTTTTAATAACTACTCTAATATACGCAGCAATTTTGATAGGATCTTGGAGTTTTCAATCTAGTGATGATTATTTATTTTTGATAAACTTGCCACCACTATATTCATATGTTCTTTATTGTATTAAAATGACTACGTATGTTAGAGTAGAGCCAGTGATGAGGATCTGTTTAGAGAATAAGTGCTTTTCACTCAGTTCATTGTCTCCTAAATGTTTAACTAAAGATTTCTTCATATATCTTTAAACTATTTATTTCCCCTTTTAACTGCTGTTATTGTAAATATCTGGTCTGTTTGTGTAGCAGTCCGAATAAATTTGATAGATTCAGTAATAGAAGAGATGAAGTTCAACTTATCTCATTAATCATTCATAAGTATAAGTCCTGATGGCAGTAAAAAACACAGTCACATTTTAAATTATGCGACCATTCGTTTTTGTTATAGTATGCAGATTTTTACCATTTTATCTAAGAGGTTGAATGACAATGCATTGTGCAAGTATAAAGAAAGGTTTACTGCTTTGAACTATACACCTCAATTAGTTTTAGTTTACATCCACAAAATTCTTAAAAGTTTGACTTTTGATATAATTTAGGCGTGAGCCTAGCTTTTCAAGGTGTAAATCTTTTTTCTAGAACTGTCCCACAAATTCTTCAAAAGAGTTCTAACCACTTTATGAACCCCGAACAGATTTAGAAAACCACTTAATCAAAATGAAATTTATCTATTTTAATTACAGTTTTGTTCAGTCTTTCCTCTCTGTTGTTCTGGAATGAATTCTCTGCTGTTTACAGCATACCTGTTCTCACAAGTTTGTTGGGTTGATAAAAGAAAGTATAAAATGCTTTTCAATAAAAAGGAGTGTGTACCATACCCGATTGCCTTCATAGACACACTATGGAAATCGTTGTGGTTCACTGAATTTACGATGAAGCTACTACTAGTAGTTAGTTCTATTAGTTATGTACTAGGCTTTAACCAGTCAATTAATTGCTGTCTACTAAACCGGAACATTTGTTTGGTAGCTTCAAAACTGAAGTTTCATAATGATCTAATATTTCCTGTAATTAGTGTATCAACAGAAATTTTCTGGTTTAATTGTTTATGTTTTTGTTGTCATTTTGATGCACTTTGGATGTTAGTTTTTCTTTTTTCTGTCACTGAAGTCTGCTGACTGTTTCCTAGTTTTAATTGCTGTAAATGTTATCCAGTAAGCTTAAAATTTCAACTTTGGAGTTAAACAGGAGTAGGAGATAAATTCAATTGAGTGAATCTAGTGAAAAATAAAAATAATTATTTGGTTGATATAAACTACTTAAAACCTACTCACATCTATCTAGAGCTATTCAGCATACAAATATTTATATGGTTGGATAAAACGAACGCTTCGAATTAAGCTATACGTATGACTGAACATTTTAAAGCTTTTGTAGTGATAAAGCGTACAATTGAGAGGCGATAACATAAAGGCTTTGACAAATTGCTAATATACAAATTGTTACAAACTGCATCAATGGAGGAACAACCTATGCTACATATTTTATTATAAATCAATGTCATGTGATATCAGTTGCCTTAAAAACGTTTTATTTTCTAATAAGCTCATTTTTAGTAACATAGTGGATAGATGTTATGGAAATAATAAGAGGGTCCTGGGTTCGAACCCCGGTGGATGCGTACTGCTGAAGAGTCCCGAACTAGGACGAAACAGCTGTCCAGTACTCTCAGGTTTTCCAGTGGTTCTCAAACTGATGTCAGATCATGATGAAATCCTCCTTACAACCAAATAATAATGCATCAGCTTCATGTCTAAACAGTATATCTGTGCACTCAGTAGCCGTCGTCTTTCATTGGGACAATGAGACGTATTCAGACGATCGCAACAGTAAACAAAAGAATAAATTCAGCTGGAGTGTTTCCTAGTAATAGTTGTATTCATTTCAGTACAAACTGTAAACATGTGGTCATTAATTATTCCGTACATTCTTAAACTTTGTTAGTGGTTGTGCAATGTTCAGAAGATACATTACGTTCACTGAATATTTATATTTTACGGTAAGTCATGAAAAGTACTTAGAAAAAATGTTCTGAAAGTATAAGCAAGCTAATACTGGAGACTAGTACTTTGCTTAGATCTTATTCTGCTCATATTTCTTTTGGCTGTTAATTTTAAAGCATACTGTGAAGTACTTTTGGAGAAGAATATAGAATTTATAGTTAATATTTTGCTTTCGTTTCAATATACTGATTATGCCTAATCAACTCAACTGTCATCGTACACTGTTATACTTAAAATGGCCGTCTATACACCAAAGAATTTTTTATCCTCTAAAGATTCTTAGAAATGTACGTCAAGGGTAGCTGAATTCTTTTTGACTAATTAATATTAGTGACAAATTAGTGAAGCTTGATATAACATTTTCCCGGGAATTATGCATGTTATTGAAAATATTCAATATTTGTTTATTTATTTTTCTCTAATGTCAAATTGTTGATTCAGAATAAAATTAACTTCAGAATATTGTTTGAGTGTGTTGTAAATTCAAGCCATGTTTTCCTATGCAATTATCATTGCGTGTTAATTCGTATTATGTATTGGTGTATGACACCTTTAATTTATCAAACTTCTCACACATATTTATGATAAATCTGCTAAAACCATTGATGGGAATTCAATTGAATTCACCTCAACAACTTGTAAAATGACACAGTTTGTTGTAGAAGAATTTGCTGTTTACAACATAAAATACAACTTAAAGTGCACTAATGAAAGAGATTTTTATTTGTTTTGCTTGTGGTTTGTATGAGGTTGGTTAGAAGGATTCTGATTTCCATATAGAATGGTAAAATTATAACAAAAACTGAATTGTCTCCTCACTGTTTCATATTTGTGCACAGTTAATTAAGGTGTGTTTTAAAATGTCGCGGCTTAATAGTGCGTACGGATGAAGAGTCCCAAACTAGGATGAAACAGCTGTCCAGTACTCCCAGGTTTTCCAATGGTTCTAACTAATGTTAGCTCATGATGAAAATCCTGTAACCAATCAAATTCCTACAAACCAACACTTGAATACCAATTAGATGCTCACTGGTAGGTAGTTACCTGCGGTCCTAGTGAGAAGTCGTGACCAGTGGGGTGCACCAGGTCGGGTGTGAGGACAAATAATCGCCGAAGACATTGGCTGGGGTCGCGCTATGTCGTGAATAGGCAGAAGTTAGAATTCGTGGGCCATTGGAACGTGTCCCAGTGGCTTAATGGTATACGAGCTCGGCTTAAAATTAAGAGTATTATTTCATTCATTCATAGGTGTATGGCATAATTCATTCTTGTAAAACTGCACTTAATGCGGTAACGATTATTGATGTCAAAAAATCTTATAGTGAGAAATTAATTCTCTAACATGATATAACTGTGTTAAAGGTTTTAGCACTAAAAAGCACTTTTTTGTAAGGACATAGAAATACTGTATTTCCATATAAATAGACAAAATTTCATAACATTCTGCATAAACATAAATTTTCTCTGAGTCATTATCAACGTAGATTTTTATTCCTAAGTATTTGTTAATCGATAACATGTACTGTGTAGTCAATACTGTACACTGTATTGTAATATTTCTTCTAATATTATTTATTGAAGATTAACTGACAGAAGTAAGTATAGCTAGATTTCTCACAGTCTTAGACAAGACTTATTTGTAATGTCAATAAAATCAATATTCTCTTCTAGATTTAAAACTCTTTTATCCAGATGAAGCAAAATCTAGCTCTTAGGATTTCTGACAATGCCTGCTCCTAAACTGCAGTGTGAAAAGTTCACTTCTTGAGTATATTGTCCGTCATTTGCTCAGTGTATGTGGTGTAGTGTTTAAGCAGTGAGCAACACTTTGTAGGGGTGTGATACAGACAGTGGGTTCCAACTGAATATTATTCTCACAGTAAGAATCATTGTAAATGCTGATGTTAACGTCTGAATACTATTCCCACAGTTCAATACTGCATTAGCAACAGAATACTATATGTGTATTTGAACATTCTATTTCAAGACGTTTAATGTAAACCAAAATCACACCCTCAGTGATTGGTTAAAGAATATAAACTGTATAGATATAAATGGTGGTTTGATCAATTGAAAATATATCTTGGCTTCTGTGTCTTGCCTTATGCTATTACAATGTGTAACTTGTAGTCGTTAATTATATAACTTGTATTTTCCATTATTATTTATATTATTATTAATCATTTCCTTTATTTCGTAGAGGAGCATATTGCTTCAGCTGCAATATTTTCCATGGAATTAACTTATTTAGTGATATTGCCGGTGTATTTTATTAATGCAGACTCCATAGCTTCACCCATTTAAATTTCGCTCTGGTCTCAACTCATTGGGATTTAAGCATCTAAATAATAAACTGTGATAAATATTTATTTTATGGAGGATTTAATCATGAGCTGACATCAGTTAGAGAACCACTGGAAAACCTGGGAGTACTGGACAGCTGTTTCGTCCTAGTTTGGGACTCCTCAGCAGTACGCACCCACCGGGGTTCGAACCCAGGACCTTCTGGGTACAAGGCGAGCTCGTAGACCATTGAGCCACTGGGACCCGATCCAATGGTTCTTGACTTATGACTTCTGCCAATTCACGACATAGCGCGACCACTTCTAGTGGGAAGCCGTGACCAGTAGGGTACAGCAGGTCGAAGATGAGGCAGTAACTCATCGAAGAAGACATTGCGAAGTGGTCGCGCTATGTCGTGAATTGGCAGAAGTCATAAGTCAAGAACCACTGGATCGGGTCCCAGTGGCTCAATGGTCTACGAGCTCGCCTTGTACCCAGAAGGTCCTGGGTTCGAACCCTGGTGGGTGCGTACTGCTGAGGAGTCCCAAACT